AGAGTTTTTCTTCAGGCAGATTTTATTTTGAAGTTCAGGTTAAAGGTAAAACTGAGTGGGATTTAGGAGTCGTCAGAGAGTCCATCAACAGGAAGGGAAAGATTACATACAGACCTCAGGATGGTTACTGGATGATTATATTGAGAAATAAAAATGAGTACAAAGGTTGTTCTGATCCTCCAGTCCGTCTCTCTCTGTCGTCTCCTCCTGAGAAGATCGGGGTCTTTGTGGATTATGACCAGGGTCTGGTCTCCTTCTATGACGTTGATACTGCAGCTCTTATCTACTCCTTTACTGGCTGCTCCTTCACTAACAAACTCCACCCATTCTTCAATCCCTGTTCCAATTATGGTGGTAAAAACTCCGCCCCTCTGATCATCTGTCCTGTCAATCAAACTGTCTGATCTTTGCTGTAATAAAACCTCAATGTTTGTTTCTGTTTATTATTCTCTGTTCAAGTCAATGATGTTGTAATCTGGAGAAAAGGAGGAAAACAGGGATTAACATTCAGATTATTTTGACTTTAGCATTAGCCTCAATGCTACCTTTTGTTTTATTAATAAACATTTAACTGTTGGAGGGTTTAAAGAAAAATGAAAGTGATCATTCAAAATCTCCAAATTTTTTTAAATAGAATAGACTTTATTGTCATTGTAACACGAGGGTACAACAAAATTCAGGGTTTTGTTTTTTTTAGAATCGAAGAGATAAACTCTTGTTTAATTAATAACTCTTGTTAAAGGTAAAGATAAAACTTTTGAAGATTTTCTTTACAAAATCATTTTTGTTATTTTGAATGAATGAAAATACTTTTCTCTTTTTTTTATCTGATTTATTTTGAATCTTTGTAAATAGATCAGTGTTTGTGACCTGTGGTCAGTTTCACCAATCCAAGATCATGGATTCTGTGTGGATTATCAGTCATCCTGGTGGCCACGTCCACTGCCACAGCCAATGCTATCTGGAACATTCCTCAGTTCTCACAACACCACCACCACTGCCTTCACCACAGCTCCCTCAATCATCACAGCTCTGGTCTTTACAATGTTCCAAATGATTATTGAATCAATCCACTGTACTCACCTGCTACTCTCTCTCTGTGTCTGCTCTTTGGTCCACCCTGCACTCACTCCCAGTCAGAGCGGAACACTTGGTTCATTTGATGTAGCTTTTATTTCTTCTCCAGTGATTACAGATTTAGATCCCTCTGTTCCAATTACAGTAACCTGATGTTGACCATGGAACAGCATTGTGTGTTTACTGTGCTTCATTGGAGTTTTCCCACAATTCAACTGTTCAAAGAAAAAACACAATATATTGCGGTATAATAATATGTGCTGGGGTATTTCTGGACTAGCTCGTCAATATTTGGCTAACTTTAAGCTTTTTTTGACATTTGTTTTTTAATGTTGGACAAATTGTTTTTAGCACAGATATTTATAATAAATATTTTGGACGTTAACTTCATCATGTTTGTTGTCGTTGAACTATATCTAGGAGGAATTAAAGAGACTGAGGGTGAGGAAACTACTAAAAAATATATTGTACATATTTAGGCCACCCTTCTCTGTAAGTCGCAGGTGTCCACATTGTAACATTGGATATTTACACAGAAATATTTTTTTTTCACTTTTAATTCAATAAATGCTTTTTCCCAACAGTGTCTGTAACACGGCTGGTTACACATTAGCTCTTTCCTGCTTCAGCGCCCCAACTGGAATGCACAGGGGAGACTTAGTGACCAACTCCAGGGCCAAAGCTAACGTTAGCTCCAGGGCTAACTCCCTTGACTTTGGTCTTGTCCGCAGCAGAGATTCAAAAAACTTCTCATCTCAGCAGTAAAGAAACAACAGAGATCTTCTGAAAAACTAGTTTATTCTACATCTGCATGGATTCTTCCTTCACTGTACACTCTGCAGGGTCATTTCTGGACAGAAACAAAACACTGTTGAAGGACAACAATAATGTGATTGACAGAAAATGTCAGGTCTCTGTTGTCTGAAAGAATTAAAGGCAGTCTGTCGTGGTGTGGATGAAGTTTGTTCACAGTGACGCGATGCTGTGGTTTGGTATAAAAGACAAACAGAAAAGACATTATTTTAATAAAGCACAAATGATGAAAAAACAACTAAAATAATAAAAATGAACCTGGTGGTGTTCAATACAACCACAGTTTAGCTACTGTACCTAACATGCTCTGAAACATTCCATTCATGTATTTCTTTAATTTTACTGTATGATTTTTCCTCCTCAGTGTAAAATACAAGGACTTTTATGTATTATTAAAAATAATTCAGGTTACAAAGTCAATCCAATGCAGCAGAACACATTTGTTCATTGGTTTCACAAAGAAGAAAACAGTCTTTCTTTTCAGCAACAGCTGCCAAATGTGGCACATCCAGTAATTCCACATTCAGGACCTAAACTGCACCACCCAGAAAATCAAAGACATCATTTAACTTCTCAGAAAACAAGAGGGGGGAGGAAAACTGGGAGAGAATAACTAACAGCAGAATTAGAATGTCAAATGGAAAGCCCCCTTGTGGTTAGAAAGAGAAACGTGAAAGAAAAAAAATCAGCACTGTACACAAACTTCCTGTTTGTCATGAAACATCAGGAAGTCGTCCTTGTCTTCTGACGGTGACATTTAACCCGTCCACGTCTGACACGACCCTTGATTTATCTATAATTATCTGTGAAGGTGGAGCTGAAGATGGTCCAGAAGTTTGAGGTGGAGGTGACATCTGCCTAATTCACTTGAAATAAAACGAAAAATGTATCAAAAGCTTCAGTGTGGCCCTTATTTCTACCGTTTATTCTGCATCAACTCGCGAGACAACTCGTTTCTACGTCTCAAACAACAACTCCCATGATTCATTGCGGTAGGTTGTCAAGTGTAAGCGATAGTCCAAGTGAGTTCGTGTCCTTAAAATGTTTATTAATCGTTCGATAGAAGTCCAACATTTCCAAATGAGAATAAGGAAATGTTACCAATCTTAACTTGGTGTCTGGAGACTAATTGGAAGTAGGAATTATGCGTGACGTGACGAGACGAAACAGATTTTCAAAACCACTGAAAACTGACCTGCTAATGACGCTACTGGGCTAACAGAGATAAACACGGGGCTTTTTAGAGAGGAAATAATGGATGAAATACAGACGGTTCCTCCTCCACCTCCTTCACATCGTCCTCCTGCTAGTGCTACTGCGGTTCTAGCAGAGGAGCTGCCCTCCGTCTTGTGGGGACTGGACCCGGTTTTCAGCGCCTTTCCCAGGCTGTATGTCAGAGACATCCAGGACATGCCTGAGTCCATTCAGGTGCCAGGTAAAACGACCCTGTTACTTCTGAGACCTTAGCAGGTTTCGTTTGTGTTGGTTCTCAGTCGTCCAGGTCATTCCATCGAAATAAGTTAAGGAGTAGGCAGCTGGACTGGTCTGGGCTTCCTGAAGAAGTTTCACCTCTTCATTGAAGAGTCTTCCTCAGGTCTGACTGCTGGATAATCCCTGTGTATCTACAGGGATTTCAACACTGACTCTTCACCACACAGGCCACAACCCTGGACCACAACAGCAACCAACCAGCACCACACTGACTGTAGTGAATTCCATTTGCGATATTTGGTTTTAGGCCGATCAGATTGTTGAAGTTCATGAAAATCAGTCACAGCCCTGAGAAGACAGACGCCTTGTATAATTGACGTCACGTAAAGTGGACATGTGGACTCTGTCCAACCTCTGTGCAGCCCCGCACTCAGCAGGATATATGGTGGTGACCACAGGCATGACTGTGTCCTGCTCTGAGTCCAACCTAACTGTGATACACAGTCAGTCCAGTATTTAGTGAGATGTCCAGTCTCCATAGAATCATGTGTATGGACCAAGTTACAGGAGTTAACATACAGGAAGTATCAAATGGCAACACTTTCAACTGTGTTTTTATCCTGCAGGAATTTACTTCTACAACTCACACCCAGTCTACAGAGTGGACGTACTTGGGAAAGTAGTTTATAAGAGAGAAAGAGAAGACTTCTTCTGTTATGGAGGTAATCTCCTTCAGTTCCTTTGTGGTTGAAAGTGTTCCTTTTATAATGTGACCTTGAAGCTCATACAGTGCATGTCCAGATTACAATGTCTGGTTACAAAAGAGAAGAGGGGAGTGATTACCCATCATGCCCAGTGCCTGGCATGACCAGGGTCAGGGGGCTCACATTCTTATAATAGCAGATCAGTTAACTGCTGTTTCAGTTTTGAATACTTGTCTTTGTGTTTGCAGTGGATGATGGGACTGGTGTTATAAACTGTCTCTGCTGGAAAAATGAGCTGTTGAAAGGAGGGGAGGATCCTCACACACGTGAGTCTGCAGATCTCACATCTTCACTAGTTTAGTTCACAGCAGAAGAAAAAAAAAGTGTTCAGTCCCAAACCTGGGTTCTGTCCTAGGTCCAGGCCCTGTGTGGCCCTGTGTGTATTTATTATTGTTGTATATTTTGATGATGTCAGCATTGATGAATCCATTCAATCTTCTTCACCTGAGGATCTGCTCAAATATTTTTTTATCTATGAAAAGTTACATTTTACTGCTTCAGCTCCAGAGTTGTGTGCAAATGTCAGCTCTTAACAACTTACTCTTAACAGTCTTACCACTGTGCTCACCTGCATTACTCACCTGTCATTTTAGCTGCAGGAAAACATCATGTTGCAGATTACGGAGGCTTCAACCCAGTGTCTGAGATGGAGAAACTGAGACGGGCCCAACATAACCGGTGTCGCTTAGAGATTGGAGAACTGCTCCGTGTTAGAGGACTGGTCAAGACGTCAAGAGACAAACAGAGAGAAATCCTGGCCTCCTCCTACTGTAGGTGCCATCAACAGCTATTCTGCATTTTAAATAATTGAAAGAAAAGCCTGTATCTGACTGTTAACCATTGGAACTCATGTGAAAGTTAAACAGACACACAGTAAGTATCGGCTAAAATAAAAACCTTATTTATTGGATGGCGTGAAGTCTTATGAATTTTAATGTTAGCATCTCAAACAATTCAAGTCTGGTTTACTTCAGTCTGATGAGCTCCATATTGAGATGTCTGTTGCAGCTGCCATTTTATGAGATCATAAAGGTCTTAACAAACAAACAAAGAAAATCATTCAAACGCACAGAGCAGTGATTCTCCATCTCCTTCCTCTGTGTCATTCATCATGTGTGTGCCTTGTATGTGCCCAGATAAGGTGAACGACCCAGTGATGTCGGTGCAGATAGCGTGGATGATGGAGGTTCCTGAACTGTACAGACAGTGCTATGACAAACCACTGCAGCTGCCACAAGGTGCAACAGGGTAAATGCATCCTTCTCTAGGTCTGGTTCCAACAAGTATTGACACATGATCAGCGCTGGTTGTGGTCTTGCACCCTCTACACCACTCACCACCTTGAGAACATAGAACTAGGGAAGCAGCGATGCCTCAGATAAACATCGGTATCGGCCGACGTTATCCTTGTTAACTGCCATCAGTCATTGGGAAATAAAGATGGCTGATGGTGAATTATAAATATATTGGCTTCTAATCAGTCACAAATATAGTAGCATCCCTCAGCACAAAATGATGATACTGCCAAGTGCTTTTGACCAGAGGTTTTGATCACAGACTACTGTGGGCCGTAGCCAAAGCCAAAACAACAAAACAGCTCATAAGATTCACGTCGAGCTGAAGTGACGTTTTGTGTTTTTGTCTCTCAGCAACTCAACGTCCACTGCTCTCAACAAAGCCAAAGGTATTATCCTGGATTTCTGCGAGGAGAAGTCAGTGAACAGGTTCAGGCCCTACGATTTGCAGAACATCCTACAGCCTCTGGTGTCCAGCCAGCTCCAGACAACAGCTGCTGACCAGGTACAGCAGAAGTCGTCCCTGTGATGTGTTTTTTTACCCATGTTTTCACTAGTTAATGGGAGATGGTGACGTAACCACGAAACGCTGTAGGCTGAGTAGGTCGTAAACCTAGGACCGTCTGTAGTTCTGGACTGCGGTATCTATTTGTTTGCTCCAATTTTTGTAATTGACTTGAAAGGTTTTTAATACATACAGTAAATGTAGAGTCATTGTAACTTGATGAAATAATAATCCATAGCATTAATACATTATTTAGTAGTTGTGTCTGTTCCATTGTTCTTGGTGCAGCAGCGTTGACATGGCTTAGCATCAGCAACACCTGAGCATTTATAATATGTAACTCTTTGGGTCTCCTCTTAAGTGTCTTGGTGTTCTTCTACTTTGTTGTTTCTCAGCAGCCTGTGGCCGGTCCATCTGCCTGTCAGCAGCTATGTCAGCTTCTGAAAGAAGCCTTGGACACTTTGGAGAAAGAAGGTTTCATATACCGCAAAGTGAAGTCCCAGGATCAGGTGTACAATGTGACCACGCAGGACAAGGATCTGCTCATAGCTGTAAAATGTATCATCAGAGAAGATTCGGCAAAAGACAAGTGTGAGTAGTCCGAATCATAGAGGAACCAGCTGTGATCCAGGGGTGACATGATTCTAAAACATCTGAAAATGACAACGCACAGTTTCTGGTGCAAGTTTTGGGACAACTTAGTTTGGTCAAAATGCACATGCACTAGCTCTGGTACTGTCCTGTGACAAGTTATGCCTTTCTATCTTGTTTTGAATGAACCTGTAACAGTGTGAACGCAGCACTTTCTTTGTATTAACAGATTTTGCAGCTGAAGATTATTTACCTTTTTGACAGTGTGGCTGGCTCCATACAGTACTGAAGGTGATGCACTGATGCTTGTCTTTTCCTCTCTGTGTGCAGATGCAGTCAAAGGCTGTCACATCCTGCACATCCTGTCTGCAGTCAGGCAGCGTTACAGCCTGAACGTGAGCCGAGCTGCTCTGGAGCGCCTCCTCAGTTTTTTGGAGTGTAGCAGTGACATCATCAGCACTGGTGAAAACCGTTACACCGTCTTTTAACCTTTATGACCACGGCACCGTCAGGAACACTGATACAGTGTGCTGCAGACATCTTATGCTATCCTGGCTCAACACTCCTGCAGCTCTGACTGTCGGCAGCAGTGGGGCCCAGCTTCCTGTGCAGCTCTTTACTGACACCTAATGGAGAGCCTGCATAGTTTGACATAAAAAGATAGGATTTCTCAAATACTGTAAGTACAGCAACCAGTTTTTCTGACACATTTATTTGACTTTGTCACAATTTGTTAATAAATAACTGTGGGAAAACAATTGTGTTCATGTATGAATGAGCTAAAAAAAACCCATGCAGCCTTTTTACCAGGTTTAGCCCAATCAATTACAACAGTTATTATCAAATGCCCCCCCCCACGCTGAATCTAAACGATTCCAATCCGCCCCGCGACTTGATTCCAAAATAAACATCAAATAATAGACAAACATGAATGTCCTATCCTCATGGTGTCTGTCCCCAAAAAGTCTGGTCCTCTGACAGATATAGTTGGTAACCCTGTCTTACAGCCTGATAAGGAAAATTCTCTCTCTCTGTTCAATATGTTTAAATTATATATTTCTTCTAAATAAAATGTCTATTTCCCAGTAGGATTTATGACAGGCTACTACGAGCAGCAGATTATTTGTTTTCCTTCTTTTCAAAATGACAGGAGGGTCTCACAACGGTTGGTCTGACATGATGGGGGGGTGGGGGGGGCACTGTTTCTCTAGCCAATTCATTGGATGGCCAAAATTGACAGGCTGTGTATTTGAGACCTCATTTTGAGAAGCTGGAGGGTAAACAAAATATCAGACTGTCAGTGTGGTCCAGTTATCATCTTCTAGTTGACCTTTGTGATAATAAACTTTATTGATTTGATAGTGATGGTTGAGGTGTCACCACGTTCTTTATTGTCTCCAAGAAGATTCTATCACAGTTATAAGTCTGAGGTGTGTCCGGGCATCTACGTGTAAATACTGTAACACTGTGTACACAGCACAGCACCACATAGAGGGCACTAACGGTACCATTAAAATGTCATAAACAAACAAAAAGGCGCTGATGGAAAAGAGGTCTATTTTTGTAGTCAAGGTAAAAAAAGGGTGCATTTATATGCGTGTGCTATCTGTTCTCTTGTGTGTACACAGGAGGGCAGTGTTGGGTCGACCATAGGCTCCGCCATGTCGCGCAAGCAGCTGATTGGTCGCCTGAGAAACATCTGTATCCATAGTTGCAGCTGCTGGTGTCTCTGGCCAGAAAGCTGCTCATGACTCAGAGGCTATAATGTATGTGTGCGTGTGTATGTGTGTGCGTGCGTGCATGCATGCATGTGTGTGTCCTGATGCGTAGCTCGTGTGTACCTCATGTGGTGTTAGTATGAAGCCTGTCTCTGTTGTGTCAGATATTCATCATAAATGCATCAATCAGAACATATTATCTCTGCAGACTGAGTCAATCAGTAATGCCACCACTAGGGGGCATTTGCCCCTGCTAAATTTTTATGTCAGTTGCTAGGGTGTGTGTGTGTGAGAGACCACTGCTTTAATCTCTCCAACAGCACTTCTGATTTTGGGTAAAAACATTGGATGTGATTGACACTGGCAAAATGATAATAGTCATAAAAATAAAACCTTTAAATTAAACATTAAAATTCAAGATTGAAACATTTTTTGTCTCGTGCTCTGTTGCACATGTATGCCAAAATTATTACAGTCGCTCATTTGGACTGTAAAATAACCCCCACTTGACAATTGGTTCCAAAGTGTGGAGTGGGCCCCTCTATGGGGCATGGAGGTACTGCGGGGGGAGGGGAGGGGGATGCAGCTAGACCAAAAAACAAAACAGAAAATAATTTCAAACTGAGTTTAGTTGAGACTCAAGGCAATTGCTGTGAAGGTGTGGACTAAATCTGCAATCTGTTTGGGATTTGCTGGTTTATGACAAGAAAGACAAAATATAGGCATGAAATATTTTCTAGATATAACTGTACTAGTAAATACTTAACGTGACACGTCATTGAGTCATTTCAAATATGTGAAATAATGAACATAAGGAGTGAGTTACCAAAACAGCTGACAAATAAATGTTTGTTCTGTTATCTCAGCTGGGTGTCTCTTCACTGACAAAGTGCAATTACTGCAGTTCATTTTATTAATCATGTCTCTCACAACCCTGGGAAAAGAAGTTCTTCATTTTTCTTCTCTTTTTTTGAAAACTGTGAGTACTGACTATGGCTGTCTGTAGGTTCCAGGTAAAATCAACTCCTTCTTGCTTTATTGCCGTATTCATTCTGAGTAGTCTGTGTGTGAAGCCCATCCCACTCCGTCTCCCAAAATCACTGCTGCAGCTGCAGGAACACTGGAGCCGCTTGTTGGCGCTGTATTTGCGCTGCATGACGAACACTGACCTCTGCTACACACAGCAGCACTCATGTGATGCTCCGTTGTGTGTGTACGTGTAGGAGTATGTGTGGTCACAGCGGCAGACACAAAGGAAGTCGTAGCAGTTTTTTCCCCTTCTAAAGTAACCGCATGCGTAGCAGCGGCAGCAGCGACAGGAGCGACAGGAGCGGCACATTCTGTCTGCACTGGGTGGTGACAGTCACAGGCGGCAGGCGCTTCAAAGAGGACTATTGATAAGTTTGTGATTAAGCTGACGTTGAGTGGTGGCGTCACGTATACACACACATACACACACACCCACCCAGAGAGGATGAGGGAGAGAGAGAGAGAGAGGTGGAGAGAGCATGAGTGAGCTGCTCTCTCTCTTTTCTTCTCTCTCTCTCTCTGGCGCGTGTGTGTGCGTGTCTGTGTGTGTGTGTGAGAGACAGTATGTGTCTAACAGTGGAGCTGTTTCAATGACACAGCCATGCGTGCTGTGATTCCTCGCCCGTGAACGTGTCCGCCGTGGAGTCGCCGCCGCCGTGGATGCAGAGCCTGTGCTCGGTCAAGATGCAGTTTCGTACTGTACTGGACGTGAAAGTCGTGGACGTGGAGAAGCGGCGCAGTCCGTCCAAACACTACGTGAGTTTTACCTCCGTTAATACCGCTGGCGCGCTTATGTCTGCTTCTCTCTCTCTGTCTGTGAGTGTGTGTAATAATGAGTCCAGCGTTTTTCTAACGCTGTGTGGACGTGACCAGCTGAGAGTGAGTGGGTACAGGCCGAAGACACACGCACACACACAGTGACGGAACAACCATCAGTGATCAGCTGTTAGTGGTCTTCTATCCAGGGGCGTATTACTGGGCTTTTTTCATTGGTTCCCAGCCTTTATTGGTTGACTGTTGGACTTCAAGACGTCAAATGTTGAGTTATTGTAAAGCAGGGGTGCCCAAACTGTTCCATGGGGGGCAGCTGTGGCTGCAGGTTTTGTGTTCCAACCAAGCAGTAGCACACCTGAGTTGAGAGGTTTAATCAACTGGTCTCAGTCTTCAGACAGCTGATGTGCTCTTGGTTGGTTGGAACAAAAACCTGCAGCCACAGGGCCCTTTGAGGATCAGTTTGGGGATGCCTGTTGTAAAGGTTCAAAGTGAACCTGGGGTTTATTATCTCCGATAAGTCCCACTTGACTGAGAACAGTCAGCTTCAGTAACACGATATCATTGAGTCGACGTTCGTCGTTACTTGTGTCGTTGACATTTGCGTTGTTGTGCATGGCCATGTTTAATGTTGTGTGAAGAGCCATCATTATCCATATAGTGCTTTGAATGAACTTAGCCGTGTACTGAACGGTAGAAATGGCCGTCTATTGTGGGATTTCTGGTACTTTCGATCCTACAGCGTGTACGACGGGCTGTTTCGTATCGTACCATGCGTACCCCACACTCATACAAGTCAATATCGAGTGTTGATAAATATGTATAGGAATCCCTCTGTAATTGTTAAATTTAACTTAATATAAATTTGCTAAAAATCAAATAAAATTTTATGAAAAACAAATATATCCAACAGGGCTTCCCTGAACTTAAGCTACCTTTACGATACAAAGTCAAGGAACTGCTCTTGAGGAGCAAATGGTTCTGGCAAACAACGAGCTTAGTGAAAGGACCGCAACATGTGGCGACCAAAACGGTCACCGCACTTTCACTTAAGGTCGTTCTGAAATGTAAACGCAAATAGTTGTTGGCACGAGTCCAGGCTATTTAGGCCAAATCATAAACACAACATTTCCTGCGACCGTCATGGAATCTTTGGAACAGGACCCGATGTCGGATGCGTATACTTGTTGTTAGTTTTTGTCCCTGTTTTGTTGATCCTTGTTCCTGATGTGGACCCTTTAATAGTTCCTCACCTGGTACCTCAGACAACACACACGGTTCTTGAGTGGTCTTGTATACCTGCTACTAGTGGTGGTACTGTTCCCAAGTCTTGATACGAGATCTGTAGGTAAGAAGGTACGGTACTGTTCCTTTGGAGGAAGCATGTAGTTTATGGTGTTGTTTGATGTTACAGTTACTACTTATTGTTGTAAAAACAAGGTTTCAGGCACTGTTTCTTAGTCAAATATGCTAAAGCTAATGTAGATTCAAGGTTTTCTTTTTTTTTGGTGTGACTAATAGTCAACCTCCAGCACAGGCCTCAGTAAATTATTATGACTCTCCTGATTCTGGCCTGCAGAGCTTTATTCGTCAATACAACACTTGTTATTGGAAGAACGTTTTGCCCTCTATGGCCTCACTTCACGTCCTACTTCCAACTCATAAACAAGTCATAATAAACGACCAGCATGAAAAGAACACCATCTTCCTCACATGTAATTACCGTCCTGCTGACCCTTGGGCCTGAGGATATCTAAACATAATTAGCACACGTCTACTCCTTTGGTAGAACAAGTTCAGTGGGCAGCTGTGTGTTCCTGTAGCTGGAGCTCTACCAGAAAATTAACTTTTGTTTACTACTTTCCACATGTGCTACTGCTTTAAGGACTTGGTGGTCTGTCAGATTTTTTTCATACCCAGAACCGTATACCTGCAAACCAGAATGAAGTTGGATTGTAGGCTCACTTTGAGCAAAAACCAGATTCGAATCACACTCAGCCTTCAGACTACATTTCCATGGACATTTGTCAGATGTGCTGCTGTGCATAAAACGGTGATTCAGGGACACGGTGCGGGCAACAAAATGAGGCAATTAAATTGCCTTTGTGATCTGGCTGAATGGATTCAGGTCATTAAAGAAGTGCTGCCATATTATACAGAGACTTGGTGACTAACTGTACTCGCACACAAACATCTCCCCGCACACATAAACTCTGTAATTTACACCGCAGATTTGACAGCTGCCATATCTCATATTCTACTGCAGAGGTGCTGTGGTAGTGGTCTGAAAAAAATCACCTGTGAAAGAATCATCTGTGTCATATTATTAGCTGGGCTTAGCTTGTTAGCTCGATGACAGTAAAACAACAAAACGTTATTGTTTTTGTTTTTTTAAGCGTTGGTAATCGACAGTTATGGTTAAGGATGCAGTGATGCTTGTATTCAGTACTAATTATGATACTGCTTATGAATTTATATAATGAAAAAATGCAAAAAAATTAGCATTAAGACCTGCAGTGTGAACATAGTCTTCCAGAGCCCCCTGCTGGACAAGAGAGGAATTATTTCAGAATTCCAGGGACCTTTTTTGTGTGGATGTACTTTTTAAATATTTTTTAAAATTAATTTGACCAACAACTCAGCAGATTAATCTACATATAAGGAAGTCAACAATAGCTATATTTGTGTTTGCAGTAATCTGTGTAGTGAGAATCTTCATTTCCGTACACTAGGACTGTACCCTGCTGAGGAGCTGCTGTCTTTTACTGCTGACTTTTGCCTCCTCAGGCCCACGTGAGTTTGTTCTACACAGTCTGGATCTGCATCACGCTTCTCGCCTGCTGCTCGGCCTTAATGTTAGGATATTCCGTATATGTCAGAAGTTTATATTTCTGATCCGCTTTGGAGAGACTGAGCATCACATTACATAATTCCCAACAGCAGTGGGGCCTGGGTGAAAGTGATCCACATTTCTGAAGTATCAGTGCAGATAGTCAGGTCACTACAGCTGACATGACCCACGCTGCCCCCTGTGCTACTCTGTGTCACTGCCTTGTGCTTTGTTTGTTGTCTGTTTTCTGCAGACCCCACATGGCAGCTTGATTAATACTGCCCTGGAGCTGTGACTAACAGTGGTCTTATTTTGGTCACCACCCGCTCCAATCAGAGTTTTAGACTTTTTCAAACCAGTTTACATTATTCCAGGATGACTTTGTCTTTAATCTTGTCTTTGTTTTTTTCTTTTTTTAACAATAACAGTCACATAACTTTTTAAATTTTTTTTAGACATGGGCGCAAAGCTGAGAGACTGGATAAGATAAGACGGTCATTCCACTCTTTTTTTTAATTTTTAAAAAAACAGTTTTATGGAGAATTAATGCTGAATATCTCCAAACTGACAAGTGAATTTCACTATTTTTTTCTTTCCTTTATTTTTACTACTTTGTAAACGGCTCAATCCTCTAGTTTTTTATGTACTGTATGTTACAGTATGTATGTGGTCTGAACACTGGAAGCATAGGTTGTAAATAAATAGCAGCAGCTTACAATGATTTTCTATTAATGGCACAAATCTTCCTTAGCAACTACAGTACAGTACAGTACATTACAGTGCAGTACAGTATAGCATAGTACAGTACAACTCACAGTTACATCTCACTGTGAACCCCCTTCTGCGGTCTTCGGCTCATTTAACATATTGGCTGCAAACATCTCACACACTTTACTTCACCCTTCAGATAGATGGATGGATGGATGGATGGATGGATGGATGGATGAACGGATGGATGGATGGATGGATGGATGGATAAAACTTTATTAGGTAGCGTCACCATTAATAAAAATGGTTCTGAAACCATACAGAGCTGAATGATGAAGTTAGTATTTATATTATTTTAAAATAGCTGATAGTATACAGAAAGTGAATTACCAGGAAACCTTTTACATTTGTATTTTGGTGATGGGTTGGAATTTAGGTGGATTTGAACTGAATTCCAACTGATGATATGATGCAAGATTTGAAGGGAGGGTGGAATGGATGGAAGCCAGTCTCAGCAGACGGGCGTGAGACCTGATGTATAGATCACAGACTGTAGCTCTGTCCAAAAGACAGTGATGGTTGTGAAAACCTACAGAGACTGTTGAGCTCTATCCAAAATCAAACACCAGAACACTGTAGGCACACAGCCGCTAAACTTTGTGCTTGTATTTGCAGCACTGCGAGCTGTGTTTTTGGACTGCTCCATGTCAGAGGCCCAGAGTGTGGCCTAGTTTCCAGAGCTACCCAGTCTCATGAGACAAGGCCAGCCACTGTGAGAAGCAGAGCGAGGGAACGAAGCAGAAAGGGGACAGGGAAGGGTGAGAACAGGAGAGAGACACAGTCTATGGCAGCCATTGAATCTTATTTGTTATGTTTGTGAAAGCAGCTGGAAATGCTTATCCCGGCGGGGGCAGGGGGGTGCTCATCGGACTATAGGGAAAACTGGACTGCTGACTCCTATCTTACACACACACACACACAAACGTCATGTGATCAGTAGTGAACGCTTGTTTCGCAGGACGTGACGATCACAGAGAAAACACAGCTGTTACTTTGACACCATGTTTGCTCTCTTTACTTTACTTTTCCCTCCACATACATCAGTCCCGTGACATTTCATTTTCTAGAGACTTCTGCACCAGGCCGAGCCCCAGACTGTAGGACGGTGTTGTTATTTGGCATCATAAAACATCTACTCAGGGAACTCTTGGCTGCTCCACTATTTATCGACCGAGCAAAACACGGAGCGATATCTCGGTTTTCGGCTCCTCCTTTCTGATAAGGAGTGTGAGTGCTACTGGAAGGAGGAGGAGTGATTTTCAGATCGGTCACTGTCGGAGATGGACGAGAGCGTGCGTTCAGGCTGAATCTACACGCCGCTTCCACACTGATAAATGTGTTGATTATATTCCCAATTTATCTCGTTGTCATTTGATGCAGATAAAAA